CCAGGAGGGTTTCTCCGTCTTGTGGACCTTCTGATCTCCTGCTTTCCAGGTGAGCCCGGTGCTGGCGTAGGTTCAGCTACGAAGGGCAACGGCGCAGGTGTGGCCACAGGGACCGGGACCACGGGTTCAGTCATAGGGGTCTGTGTCACAGGTTCAGGTGAAGGGAGCGGCACAGTGGACTCAGGAATCACAGGTTCAGGCGAAGGGAGCGGCACAGTGGACTCAGCAGCAACCTCTTCAAACTGCTGTGAAGGAGGCTCATAGTCGTTCAGCGGCATTTCTTGCTCATTGGCACGCCAGATATGTTTCCGATTTCTACGGCGAACTTCCCCGCGGACTTCATCTGACCGTCACCTCCCAAGTGCCTGTAAAACAAATGTTTCCAGTTTCCCCGGGCTCGAAACGTGTTTCGCAATCAGTCGATTGTATTTCTTGCAAAAACATATCTTATGTTTGTGCCACGAGTTTAATTCACTCCTGGCTATACATCTCTCCCACCCCCCGGTGCCGGCCGAGCTTCCACCAAACCCTGGACCCCCTGGGTAACTGAAATTTCTCGGGGTCGTCGAGAGTCTGGGCTCTAGTGTAATCATGTAAATATGGCGGCATCTGTGTGATCCGTGCTGGTTTTTAAGGTAAGAGAGTTTATAATAATGCTTTTCTCATGTCTAGCTAAGCTATAGACTATGAAAAAGAATTAGAAGCTTGTGTCTGTGACTTACAATGTAGAATAGGTGGACATTCTGACGCATTCTGTAATCGCTTTTCCACGATTTCAGGGAGTACTAGACGTTTTGAAACACACAGAAGTACGATCATCGATCGTCCTTCGTATCGGCTATTTAATACATTGATCAAATGTTTTGAGTTGTTTTAAATATGTGACTTTTATTGATTTTTCACGTTGTGCCCACGGCCTATTTAATCAAACGTTCGGTAAAATACCGGATAATCGAACCCAATTGAACACTAATAGTTCGATTGGATTCAGCAATCGAATATAATCGAACTCACATTAAAATTTGGCTAATTGAACAAAATCGAACGTTCGATTGTTGAACAGTCGACAATCGAACAAAATTGAACATTTGATTACCGAATGGTTGACAGTGGTTCTCAATCAAACATGTGGTTACTGAATGGTACAGTCCCCAAAATGATCTCGACCCCGATATGATCCCCAAATCGACCCTGAAATGATCCCTATCCCTAAGGTACCTATCCTATTAATATTGGTTGGCCCTGACAATGAAAAAGAAACCAAAAATATATTTCTGCCAGAACTAAAACCTGCAACCTTTTTTTAAGGTTGGCATTAATTGGATATTCGTGTGTTTGAAGTAGCAATTATCATCCCTGTGAAGGGAATTTTGTTGTATCTCTGCAGTGGGCTTGCCATGAATAACCTACTTTGATAATATGCTTATCATTAAAATCTCATCGGACCTCTATTACTTTTTGGGACAGAACAGAACAGACTAAGTTATTACTTATACCTGTTTATAGTTGTGTGATCTACAATAAGTGACAAAAGTGCTGAGACACTTTGAAGTGAAATATTAGTTTTTTAATGTCTTGGAAACATTACCCTCCCCCTCCCACTTCGAAACAATGTTGATTTTCCTATTTTCAAGATTGTGCGGATCACAGCACTTACGCAATGTTGAACTAGGGGGCTGGGGAAATCAGAGAATTAACACTACATACAAATGAAATAGAATGTATAAGAGGCTTAGTCAGTGTAAAATGAAGACTGTGAACTGCAGACCAGGGGTATAATGCAGACTGAGGGTAAAATGCAGACTGTAAAGTTGTTAACTGAATTCTGTTACCATTTCAATCATAATCTGAAAGCTAGCCACAAACAAACTGACTGTAATGATATTCAGGCTAACTGAAGTGATGCCATTGAATTCTTCCCTGAAAATAATGGCTCCTGGAATGTAATGGTAATTTTTACTTTCCTATACAAGCTCGGAAGTAATCATCCCCTGAAAGTAATGGCCCACCCAAAAGTAGCAGACCTTTGAAGAAGTCAGTAATAGAGAAACTCTAATCTCAAGTGCAGTGCAGATGGGTCAGCCTGTCTGCAGGACTGAACAACTTAGAGAATTTAAGTTTCTTGAAACTATGATTTGTAAGCTGTACTTG